GCCTCGGTGCAAGCGGCGTTGCGCATCTTCAAGATCTGATCGAAAAACGAATTGTCGCCAGAGGCGATTGGCTCTTGGTGGGGTTGGGCACAGATATAAATTTTTGCAGCTGCCTATCCGCTCTCGACAGCTCCACGAAGAGCCCCCCTGCCGTATGCATCGCCGCCCTCGGGACCCATGGCTCGCGATCCTTAAGGCCGCCCCCCTCGATGACCGTGCGGAGCTGCGCGCTCACTGCCATCTGCAGCTGCAGTGCGTGCGCAGATGCAGCGTGCACTCGCTTGGACACAGCCAAACGCCTGCGGGCCGATGCAATGGACAATTGCAGACGAGTCCGATGCGTGTCGACGCAATGATGCAACGATTGCAGAGGAACGATACCGACGATGCCTTCATACATTTCATAAACACCCCCCACGGCACATGGTATGTGTAACCGATGCTGCCAACACGCGAGCCTCATCGCTTCCTGGCCTTCTTAGCCGCGGGCGCAGCAGGCACATCGTCTACCTTGCGCTTGGGCATGAGCGACGCCAGCTGGGCGCTAAGGACATCGCCCTTGTTGATGGCGCACTTGTTTGTCAAAATTGGTACATGCACTGATGGGGCAGCTGTAGACTTGACGGTCTTGAGCTTCATGTTGGGGGGTGCCGTGCCCACCTGAATCCTGTGCGAGCCAGAAGGGGATGACGAGCGAAGACGGTGCCTGCTTCAGCCCTCCAACGCCAGTGCTCGTCTCAGCCTTAGGCATCTTGATGCCACCACTGGGGGCCAACGCGATATTGAACGTCAATCCCTTGGGGTCCTTGTATGTCTTCATGAACACATGCCCACGCTGAACTATACCAGTCTGCTTCTTCAAGTAGATTGCCGAAGAGAGTGGGACAAGCACCAGCTCTTCATCCTCAAACGAACGCGTTGCGGTGAGAGCACGAAGCTTAACAGGCGTAATCACGCCACTCAAGTACTTGAGACAGTTGCCGTTCTGGCTGTATACATCATCCAAGGCCAGCCTGATTTTGGCCTCCTCGATACCCCACTGGTAATCGACAGACTTGAGGGGGCCATGATCAGCGAACTTGTCGATCGTTTCCTCTATGGGGGAGCAGCGGGAAAACAAAGATGAGACATGACGACGCAGAGCCAAATGAGATGAGGAAACGACGAACGAGAATTCAAAGGTGTGGGGGTGTATGCATTCCACATGCATTGCGACGAGGTCGCAAGACTGTCCTTCATAATCGTGGACACGACGAACTTGCCACGTAAGAAGTCGTCGATGGGGTGGCATGTCGCACAGCCCGTGGCCTGAAGCTTCAACTTCACGCCAGTCGCAGCGTCGATGGAGATCAGCTCGTAAATGTTCTCACCCAAGGTGTCGCTCGCCAAGGCGACTTGGGCGCCAACCTCAAACCCCTTGTCACTGAGCTTGTCCACTTGGTTCGACCACTTGCCCGAAGCGGTGTGCTCTTTCACATCTGAGCTACGCGCCTGCCCTGTCACGGCTTTGGATGCGCCCTCGCGACCGATCTGCTTCAATGGGCTAGCAACTGCTTTGCCAACGTGCGTTGCCAACGCAGTGGTGAAGCTGACCCCGATGTCATTCAGCGTCTTGCAAGTGCCTAAGCGCTCATCGGGCTTGTTGAACACGAAATGAACTACGCGAACGTCAGTCAATCCCCCGATGGTGCCGTAGGCGACCGTGTCTGCCGTGATGCCCTCACCGCATGCGATCTGTCGCACTTTCTGAAGAAATTCATCGGCCACCATTACAATCGTAGACTTCTTATCGCTCGACAAGGCGGTCACGTCGCCTGGCTTCAAAAGCATATGATGGCCATCCCTCGCGAACTTACCCGTCGCACATGTCATCGCCTTCATGCATGCGAGCTTGAATGTCGCAGCGGCCCCCTCATGCATGATCTGCACCTCGGCGAGAGACTTCGCCATTGAACCCGTGACCACGCACTGGGAGGTCAGCTGCCGCGAGAAGTCGCGAAGCTCGTTCAGAAAGATCGGGTTGCCGAGGCCGCCAGACAACTCCTTCACATATTTTACTAAGCCATCGATCTCCCCAGGAAAGAGAGAGCCTGCGCGAGTCGCCTCGCGGATCACACTATCCCAATCGATCATGGTGCCACCCGTGTGGTGTCGGTTGGCAATGGCTGCGATCTTGCACATGAGACTCATGCGAGGTTCGCATCTGGCAATTTGTTGGCCTGCATTGCCAGCCTCCTGAGCAAGATTACTAATCCACGGGAACTCCTTCACGAACTCGTACCGAAAGACCTTCCACTCAGTTCCTTCGTCACACGCCTTAGCGTAGTCTGGTTGAACCTCCCGTAACCTCGTCAGTGACAATTTCCCTTGGTGCGAGATTCTGTCGAAACGCTCTGGCAAGACCGTGGGTACTGGAACCCCTGCGTTGATGCAACGCAAACCCATGGATGTGTGGCCGCACGTATAGGATGCGAACTTTGCATCGCAATCATACTGCGGCAGCTGGCCCGCTGAGTCCTCCATTATTTTGAAATTGAAGTTCTTGATTGCATTGTACTCAGGCTTGCCCACTGGTGGAAGTTCCATGCAAGCTGGATTCTGGAGGGCTGAGTTCTTGAATCCATTTTTGAAGATCTTGGAAATCAAATCCATAACCTCGCTCGGAATGATTCCATCTCCGTAACGATTCTCTGTGCACACCATCATATACTTCGAGTGTATTTTTCTACCCTCAGGCAATCTATGCCTCTTGCAATGCTGCATACGTCTTCAAGTAATGAGACCACCGCTGCATCAGGATGCAAGTACATGTCCTTGATGGCCATCATCTTGGGGCGGACCTCCGCGATCTGCTGTTCACGGGAGGCGTTCATCACGCCGCGTGCAGGAGGACGCCACAGGCGCCAGCAGCAATCCTCGCACAAAGGGCTGGAGCCCAAACTCTAGTGACATTCAAAAACATGTGCAACAGAGGGTTGCGAATTCGAAATGAGATGTTGCATTTGCAATGCACAACATTCTTGTAACGCTCGATACAATATTCTGAATGCGTTCGCACGCAAGTCTGGATCATGATTTCCGATATGCGTGATCCCGAAAATCCAAACACATGCATGCGTTTCTGGAGGCAACATCCAAGGACAACCCGATGCAGCAGCTCTGTTTTCACGTAAGCATGTAAAAGTTAGCGAAATTAGCAACTTCGCTAACTCAAGCTATCTACCTCCAAATGCACCGCCCGAGTTAGCCGACTTAGTAACATTACTAATGGTTATAACTTACTTGCAACCTAGTTGCAACTTACTTATAACCTACTTACATGTGCTGCTAACAATTAGTAAGGCCGAGGGCCTTCAGGTGGTTAGGGATCATCCCTCATCCGTATCCCTCTCCATGCGTCCGGTTCCGGTTCCGGTTCAGGATCACCCCGCGCTGCTCTGGTTCCGGTTCTGGTCCGGTTCATGGATCATCCCTCATCCTTATCCCTCTCCATGCGTCCGGTTCCGGTTCCGGTTCCGGTTCCGGTTCCGGATCACCCCCCCCCCTCATGCACCGCGCGCTGTTCTGGTTCTGGTTCCGGTTCCGGTTCCGGTTCCGGTTCCGGTTCCAGATCATCTCTCCTCCCTATCCCTCTCCATGTGTCCGGTTCCGATTCTGGTTCCGGTTCCGGATCCCCCCCCCCCCCTCAGGCAGCGCGCGCTGCTCTGGTTACGGTTCCGGTTCCGGTTCCGGTTCCCCCCCCCCCCACCAGGTTCCGGTTTTGGTTACGGTTCGGGTTATAGGGTCATCCTTCATCCTATAGCCTCTTCCATTGATTCCGGTTCCGGTATTTTCGGCTCGGTTTCCGGGAAATCCCCCCCCCCCCTACTCTCAGGTCAGCGACGCGCTGCTCTGGTTCCAGTTCCGGTTCCGGTTCCCGTTCCGGTTCCGGTTCCGGTTAGGGATGATCCCTCATCCCTGTCCCTCTCCATGCGTCCGGTTCCGGTTCCGGTTCTGGTTCCGGATCACCCCGATCACCCCCCCCATCAGGCAGCGCGCGCTGCTCTGGTTCCGGTTCCGGTTTTTCCGGTATGGATCATCCCTCATTCCCTATCCCTTTCCATGTGTCCGTTTCCGGTTTTTCCTGGTTTCCGGATCATCCCACCCCCACTCCCTCAGGCAGCGCGCGCTGCTGTGGTTCCGGTTCGGTTTCCGGTTCTGGTTTCCGGTTTCGTTCCGGTTCCTTTTCCGGTTCCAGATCATCTCTCCTCACCTATCACTTTCATGTGGTCCGGTTCCGTTTCTGTTCCCCCCCCCCCCCTTCCTCCCACCTTCCCCACCCCCCCCCCTCCCCCCCCCCACCCCAGGTTTTTCCGGGTACACCCCCCCCTCAGGCAGCGCGCGCTGCTCCGGTTCCGGTTCCGGTTCCGGCTCCGGTTCCGGTTCCGGTTCCGGTTCCGGTTAGGGATCATTTCTCATCCCGATTCCTCTGCATGCGCCCGGTGCCGGTTCTGGTTCCGGTTCCGGTTCCGGAGCACCCCCCCCCTCAGGCAGCGCGCGTTGCTCTGGTTCCGGTTCCGGTTCCGGTTCTGGTTCCGGTTCCGGTTCCGGTTAGGGGTCATCCCTCATCCCTATCCCTCTCCATGCGTCCCGGTTTTCCGGTTCCTCAAAAACTGTCGGTTTCCGGAAAGATTTCACCCCCCCCCCCCATTCGGCAGGCGCGCGCATGCTCTGGTTTTCCGGTTCCGGTTTCCGGTTCCGGTTTTCATCTTTCCCAACTCTTCCTTTTTCACCACTTTCCCTTGGTTCCGGTCCGGTTTCGGTCCCAGGATCATCTATTAATTCCTAATCCCTTTCCATGTGTCCGGTTCCGTATTTTACGGGTTGTCCCGGTATCAGCCCCCCCCCCCTCAGGCAGCGCGCGCTGCTCTGGTTCCGGTTCCGGTTCCGGTTCCGGTTCCGGTTCCGGATCAACCCTATCCCTCCCGCCTGGGGTTCTTACTGTGCCTACGACAGGGGCGATGCCGATCCACGCCGCCGACCTGTCGGAGGCTGTAGCCACCTACCTGGCCGGCTTCGGGGGAAGAGGCATCTCCCTCCCGACCGGGTGGGGTGGGGCAAGTACAATTCCATCATGGCGTACTTGGATCCGAACTGAGGGAAGGCCGTGACACGCTGCGTGCTGACCTTGACGATGTAACAGGGTCGTATGCTGACTGTCGTCGCGAGGTCGTGTTTCCCGGTCAAGGTATTCACCGTGGTCAAAGAGGTCGAGGCGGATCCCGACGGAGACCATATCTTGCATTCGTCTCGGCTGGTTTGGGGCTGCCGCCAAGTGGGCTGCCTCTTCAAGTGCGCTCCCGGGGTGCCGCTGGGCTTGCCAACAGCCTTAACCTAAGTGAAACCTGGCGATGCTATTTCACGTGGCAGAAGGTTTTCGATGCATGTAGGATGGCGGAGCTTCTGTCATGGATCAGATCGTGCTGCTCGCGTTTCTGAGGTTTTCGAACAGCAGGTGTGTCGACGTCGGAGACGTGCCCGGATGCGCGTCTGGTCTGGGCCTGCAGGTGAATCCGATGGTATTTTGTTTAGCAGTTGCTACTGCGCATGCGTGTTTAGGCGCGACGTTCGAAGCTATTTCGGGCTGTGAGAAGTCGGGGATCTCCTATGGCTCAGCGGCTCCGTCTTCAGTCTGTGCGAAATGTTTCTCACGCCGCGTATCGACGACTCCGCCGCCTTCCTTCAATTGGGGGGCGACGTGACGGGGCCGCGGGACCTGATGGGGGGTCGAACAGTCGGTCTTCCTGAAGCGCGGCATCCCGATTCACAGGGAGGCCGTCGGCGATGGCGCGCCGATTGGGCTGGGGCTGAGGCCGGAGAGCGGGCCTTGCGTCCCGTGTCCGTGCCGGGACAAGCTGAAGGCCGTGGTGTGGCGCGCCGGGGCCGGCCCGGGCCTTGCGAGGGCGTGCTGCGCCTCTGGAGGAGGCGTCGCTACTGGACCACCTGGAGGTGGAGCATGCGATTCAACGGGCCGCTCCTCGAGATGCCAGACAAGTTCTTCAAGCGGCCCGACTCGTTCGACGAATCCGAGGAGGGGGTGCCCAGGTGCTCGGGGGCGCGGTTCGAAGCGAGCTGAGGGCGATATCGAATCGGTCAGTATTCTTCGAGAGCCTTCTCGAGCTCCATTGTTGGGGCGAGGTCTACCTGGCGGGCTCGGCGAGCGAGGGTCCGCCGCGGTCGTCGCGGACAGCGTCGTCGTGGAGGCGAGGGCCGAGAGCCGCAGCTTGGCGGCCCAGGGGCGGATCGTCTCGAAGGGCGAGGGGCCCACGGAGATCGAGAGAGCAACGGCGGCCGAGGGGAAAGAGGAGTGCCAGGGCCAGGTCGAGCAGGTGGGGTCTAGCAGACCGGGCCCTTGGAGCCCCTCTCGGGAAGCGAGAACATCTCGACCGCGGTGCGAGAGGTGTTGGGGTTTTGGGCAGATCCTGGCGACATCCCGTGAACCTGGGCAGGCTCTTGAAGCAGATCAGGTGGGGCGTCGTCGCGATCGACCTGGGCGTTCGCCACTTCGGGGAGCAATGGAAGAAGCCGGCTCTCCCAATCGTGAATTTCGGGGATCCGGCGGCCCTGGGGCGGCGTTGCACGGGGCAAGTGGGCGCGCGTTCAATGGCGAAGCTGCCGCGCCGAGAGCTGGAGGTTCGGGGCGAGGGCGGAGAGTCCTTGGCGAATATCGTTTGCCCGCGCCTTCAAGATTCCGGCCGCCAGTGCGCGGCGGTAGCAGCTCAGTTCCACGAGCGCAGCTTAGAAGAGCCCTTAACAGCGGGCGTGCGATGGGGGGTATCTGGTCAGGGTCGACTGATTCCTCTGCGAGCAGTTCTGCCGGCGATTGGATCGGATTTCGTAGCCGCGGAGAGGTGGGGGCCCTTGTTGAGCGGAAAGTGGGGCAGGCGGGGGCGCGACAACCTGCGGGGGCGCAAGGGGGTGGCAATGGTAGCGGGGCGCTTGTGGAGGACGCCCAGCGCGTGGAACCACCGAGTGTTCGTCTACACCGACGCCCTCATCGCTGTCGGGGCCTTGTCGAAGTGCCGCGCAAGAGCGCGCGAGTCCCTGGGGCTCTGTAGGAGAGCCTCCGCCATCACCTGTGACTGCAGGGATCCATCTCTACCCCAGGTGGCCTCCGAGAGAGACGGGGGATAGCCGTTCCGCGGTCGAGCCAGAGCGCCGTCTCCCCCGCTGCAGCAGAGAGAAGCTCTTGCCTGGGTCCATGCCTTTGGACGGAAGGCTATGTTGCACAACCGACTTGGCGTTCGCGTTGTTGATTATTCTATTAACCGGAAGTGTGAGGTTGAAGTGCGGGTTGTTTGGGTTGACGCACAGCGCTCAGGCTCTACTTTCAGCGCAGTGGCCCAAAGGGACCTTGCTCTGGCACGGTACCTTGAGGACCTCAGGTACAATGGTGGTGCTCAGATCACAGGGTTTCACGTCTTTCGCGGCCTCGGTCACATCTCTGAGGATCACAAAGATTGGCGTTTGATAGCACATCGTGCTCGCCAGGCCTGGTCATGTCTTCATTGGATCAGGAAAGGTGTGCCAGTTCCAAGACATTCATTGCCTGCGTCATCCTGCCTCCCATGATCTTGAGAAGGGCCTCGCGATGAAGGCCGTCGCCGTCCACTTGTCGTTCGACGGTTTGCTTGGGGAGCGCGACGCGGCCCAGCTGCGCGAGGAGTGCTGCGCAGAGGGCCGCCCGACAGCTTCTCTCTCTCTTCGCCTGGGAGGTATGCGCCCAGGGGAGGTCAAGATTGCATCGGGCCAGGGAGTCCTCCTGGATATGAGCTCGGCAAGAACTTTGTTGATGGGGTCTACTCCGAGGGCTGGGTCCCGTGGTTATGTTGTTTTCTTTCCTCTTGCAGCAGCCTCTACCGTCGCGCTCGGTGAGGAGCCTCGTTGCTTTCGAAGCTGGAAGCTCCTGGCCCCCCGCTGCGGGCTGCGACTCGCTGGCGCCGCGCACTTCTTGGTGGTGAGCGACGGCGTGGAAGCTGCCCGTGGGCGCGGCTGCCGGCAGCAGTCGACCAGCTCGCTGCAGCGTTGCGCTGAAGGCCGCGCGCTGTTCGAGTGGAGGTCCAGGCTTCCAGGGGCGCTCTCTCGTGGGGGTCTTCTCTTTCGGTGTGCGCCCCAGTGCCTGGATAAATGCGCCTCAATCTTTTCCTGTGACTCTTTGCCCGTTTGTCGTTTAATTCGCGATTTGGGGATTTGCGCTGCCGATGTGCAGTTTTTTGCTGGGCCTCTCGTTTATCGGGGGGCGCTCGGAGAGCCCGCGATGGCAAAACCCTGTTTTGCCAAAATGAATCGCTCGCGAGACGGACGATCTCACGAATGACTGAATCTTTTCTCTTTACAAGGACGGCGTACCGCCGGTGCAGACTCACTGGCGTTCGCGTTTCGGTTTGCGTCTCGGTGCTCGCTGGCAGAGCGACGCATCAGAGCTTCCAGGTCATGCGCCGAGCTTTTGTTATGTGATCACGCGTGCTTGGTAAAGATCGAGGCTAGCAGCCTCCCGCCTTGTGCTGGAAACGACATGCCAAGACTGTCGCCTCGTGTTCCGTCTGGTCCGCCTTCCTCCTCCTTGCCTCCTCTTCAATATATATATATATACATATTAATCAATATATGTATATGTTATGTGTGTGTGTGTGTGCTGCTCGCGGGGGGCAGCCAGGGCGCCCGATTGCGCGGGGCCCTGTAGAGCCAGGGCTGCGCTGACCCAGGCGGGGGTGCCGGATCTTGCAGGGTTCTGCAAGATCTTGCAGGATCCTGCAAAGCTCGACTGGCCCAGGTCTGGATCGACCCGGGCCAGCGCGCCCCCGACCGACGCTGATCCCCCAAAGGGGGGATTGTATCGATTTAGGGCCGTGGGGCATTGTCGCCAATTTGGCCCCTGGCAAGCTGCGCGCCTGGTCAAATCTGGGGGATGGCAGCCGGTCGATGTTGGATTCCCTTGGAGAGCCAGTTATTCAGTTTTTGTCCCCGTCGCGTGGGCGATGCCGCGAACTTGTCAGTTGCGAGGCGAGAGCCAGCTGTCGCCTGGTCTCCCCATCGCGGGCAATGTCAGGGGGGATAGGCTCGGAGGGGGAGGGGGGGTTTTCGACCGTTTTTGGCCTTTGTTCGAGTACTTTCGAGACCCAGGGCCCAGGGCGGTTTTCATCGACTGAGCCTCGTCGAGAGCGTTCGGGGGTGCTGGGGCCGCCCCGAACGGACGCTGGAAGTTCGGGGTGTGACCTGGAACTCGACGATTCTGATCACGCAGGGGGAATGGCTCAGGGGGTGAGCATCGACCCCCCATCACCCAGTCATCGCCGACGGGGGCCTGCCAGCCCTACCCCGCCCAGGCGCGTCTGGTTTAGCTACTGGGTGGTTTCGTTGCTGGGCGGGGGGTGCCGCCGATCTATCAGCGCCACGCCATCGATTTCAATTGTCTTCGCTTCGCGTATCCTCGGGTCTGATGGTTAATTCACTCACCATTTTGGTGTGCAACGTGGCCTTCTTGTTTCTCCTCGACCTGGCTGACTTCCTTGGCTGCACCGGCTCCGCCGCCTGAGCTACTGCGTAGCGCGCCCCGGTCGCTGTGGCCCCCCCTTTGGCCGAAATTTAGATCGTGGCGTTGTTGCTTTGTTTCTTGACAGCGCGCTGTTGCTCTGTGCCGCTCGCGAACGCAAAAGTATCCTCGCCAGCCGAAGACTTCATGAACGAATGCAACAGGCTCCACCCCGACGCCCGAGGCACAGATAAGGACGACGTCCATCGCACCATCCCGATGCGTAACAAGTCGTACGAACTCACCTCCCACCTCGCCGAAGGGTGCGCCAACATCCCAGAGGCTGCTCTAACGGTCGACCCGGTTCCCGCCTTTCTACCGGCGCCGGAAGACGGCCTCGCCATCGAGGTAATCGTCCCATGCGGGCTGCAGAATGGGATCCTAGAAAACGGATGGCCGCTCGGCCTCCCTGCCGTGCAGATCGCCATGGGGGGCGACGAGAACGCCGACGGGCCCGGCCCCGACGACCGCCCCCTCCCCCTGGCCCCCCTTGCGGGACGACGGATGGCGTCGCCAGGCGCCCCTTCCGGCGCCGCCGAGATGGCGCCGACGGCCCCCCCTGCTTCCACCCCGCAGCGGAGGCGCTCGCCCGCGGCCTCCGTTCAGAAATCCACTTGCGCCGACCTGGTCGCGGGGCCCATGGGCGCCGACTGCGCCCCTGATCGGCGCGGGCGGGGGCTCGTCTTCAACTCCCAGGCAATTGTCGACAACGGTCTGAGCTTGGCTATCCCCGGCCTCCGCCAAATCGCCCACTGGCACCGCGCCTCAGGCCGGCTTGCCCTGTCCGCAGTCGACGCCAGCCAGGGCGGCGAAGCCGACCTTGTAATCTTCCTCGCCACGCTGTCCAACTTTTACTACGCGCGGGGATTCGTGGACAGCCCCAACAGAGTGAACGTCGGGCTGACGCGCGCCACGCGCGGGTTTGTGATCATCGGGGGCGGCCGCGTGATGGCCTCCATGACTGACTCCAAACTGAGGCTTCTCTCCAACTACGGGCGTCTCGCGGGGCTCTGGGTGCGCGTCTACCTCCGCCGCGGCCCCGGCAGCCGCCCTGAGCTATGGACCGACGCCTCCTGCGACCCCATCCACGACCTCTCCTCGCGGGCCCCGCCAGGGCCCGACGCCCTTGCTGCCGGCGAGGCCGACGGGGCCAACGTCGAGATCGACCTGGCAGTTGCCGAAAAGAGATAGGAGCACGCCCAAAGCTTCGGCGCGCACTACAGCCCCCCCCTTGACAAGGACTTTCGCCGGGGCGCCCTCGGCCGCCAGCTGGGCAGCGCCGGGGGACCTCCTGACCGACCCCGCGCTGCCTATGGTCGCCCTCCTAGTCGCCGGGCCCCGCCCGCACAACTACTTGGAAAGTGCCCCCCCCCGGACCCCGCCCAGTGCGACAGGAGAGCCTGGAGCCACTTGGGATACTTGTTCGACGTGGGGCTCGGCATGGGCGCCGGCAACCTGGTGTGCAACATGACCTGGGCCACCTCGGTCTGGGCGATCGGCCCGGGCACCCCCTGGGAGGCTCCCATGTGCCCCAACGAGCTCCCCCCGCGGCCACCAGTCCAGGGCAGAACCACACGGCGGCCGCACATCAAAGGGCGCTATGCCCCCGCTGAGCTCCTGCGCCAGATCCCCCGCGCACTTATGGGCCTTCTTGGGCCCCTCCGGGTCAGGAGACATTCTTGGGGCCATCCACGGGCTCTGCTGCCCGTTGGCAGAACGATCGCGTCCACTTCCTGACCCGATTCGCGGAATCATGGGGCCTTGACCTCGCCGACCTTCGCTGGTTGCGCAGCCGGATGGAATCCTTGATCGCTCTCGTGGGCAAGCTGGTGGTGGTTGCCGACCGCCGCGCGGCCGCCATTGACGATTGTTGCCCCTCTACCTGCGGCTACGTGGAGAGGTCCCCGCTCATGCTGAAAGCCCCGATGCTGGTTCTCGAGAAGATCGTGAAGCCTGCCGACCTGGGCATCCTTTCTCGGTCGCTGCGCAGCATCTGCGCCCTGCGCCGCGACCTCGTCGGCGGCGACGGCGGCCTAGGTTCTGACGACGCCCCCTCGGAACTGGCCTTCCTCGGCGGAGGCTTCTCGTTCGCCAATGGCCCCCTGGACAGGGCATTGCCCCCTGCGCCGCTCCCGGGCGCGACCGAGATCCCGAGCTACCTGGCCCCCTGTGGCGCTCGATTCAGCCTGGGTCGGAAGGTGGCGAGGTTTCGGCGCGACCTGTGCCTCCGAGTTGGCCTCGTGTGCACCGAGGGCACCTGGCTCAACGGCGCCATCCGCTCGCACCTGGCGCAGAACCGCCTACAGGCGCACGCCGACGGGATGGGCTGCCCATGGCTCGGCGGCCCCTGCCGTGTTCGTGAGATGGAGAGGCAGGGCTCCCAAGTTCCTCGCGCAAGCGCCCTGCGCGAGCATGTGCGCGCCTTCGCGCTTTCCAGGGGCCCCGCCAGGGCCCCTCCCGCGGAGGCCCTACCCCTCGCCGCTCGCCTTCAAGCGCGCGCGGCCCTGCCCCCCCCCTGTGCCCCCGGGTGAGCTCCGGGGCTGCCTGCTTGAGCCATCGGGCCTCCAAGTCCCGAAGAACGCCAACGCCGCTCTCCCGCCCGCTCGGTTGGGCGACGACAGGTTCGGCAGAGCGGCCCGGGAGACCGGGCGTTCCTCTGCGAAGTGCGAGGGCTGCCGCCCTTGATCCCTAGCCCTCGTCTGGAAGGCTGGCCCCCCCGCGCGGGGCTGCTCGGGCTCGAGGATCGCGACACCTGCGGGCTCTGCTGGGGCACCGAGGACGACGTCGGGATTTCCCAGGGCATCTACGGGGACTCAGAGGACATTTACGGGGTCGCAGATCACAAGGGGTCGGGGTCACCGAAGGGGTCGCAGGTCACTGCTTCAGGGACATCTTGGGGGTCTGCGAGTGCAGCTGCGGATCTCTCAGGTCTCATAAGGGTTCCCCCTCGGTCGTCTTAGTGGTTTCATGGGCTCGCCTGCCTCGCCATCTGCGAGCGCGTCTATCAAGGCCGCCGTGGGCGCTGCCAGGACCTCCGCGGCGTCGGATGGGGCCTCCAATGGGATTCCTAGAAGGCGAAGCCCTGCATGCGAAAAAGGCAGACTTGATGTTCAATCCGACGTGGTCTGCAACGCTCCAACTCCGTTGCGCGGTGGCTCAAGCATCTCGGGCACTGGAGGGACGTCGGCGACCGTCGGGCCAGGGGGCCGATGTCGAGACACCCAGCCACGCCCAACATGAGCAATGCAGAGCTGCTGGTGGAGCTGGCGCAATGGGGCGAGGACGGGTGCAACGTGGCGGTGGGGATGCTCAGGGTAGGCTCCGTCACCGGGGTCAGATCTACATGGCCATGCTGGTCGGTGCTCGGGTCCGCCGCGAGAAGCGCGCCGAGCTCGTCGCGGATGCGACGGCCACGGGGTGCGTGCTGAACGGCGGGGAGACCAGGGGGGCCCCAGAATCTGATCGCGGCGAAGCGCGAGCTCAACCTGGCGGCGGTCAAAGGAATCGACGCGATGTGATGCCTTTCGGAAGGCGCCGGGGCCAAACGATTGAGGCGGTGCTCGAAAAGGGGCGGGTGTGTTCAGGTTGGCTGGTCAGTTTCGGCCGCCTTCGGTTCCAGCGTCTCACAGACTGGTTGGTCGCCCGGGGGGTCGAGCCAGAGGACGTGGCGAAGAAGGTGAAGTTCGAGCTTCCACAGCCGAAAGTCAACGCGGAGAAGCTGGAGATGCTGGGCGACGGGAAGATGGCGATTAACGCGCAGACAGCCAGGGTGCAGAAGGTCGAGGAGAAGAGCGCATCGTCGAGCGGCCCGCCTGGGCCGGTCGAGCGGGTCAGGTGAGAGACCTGGCCCGCTTGCGGTGTGTTTGGATAAGCATGCGGCGCCGGCGGGGGCCTTCTGACCGGGGCTGCTAGGGTGATCATGATGGAGGTCTGTTGCCCACCAGTGTCGGGCCCCCCCAGTTTCGTGATGCTGGAGTCGGGGGCGAACGGTGCAATGCGAGCTGGCGGCTGGAATGGTTTTGATTTATCCACCACTGCGGGCCTACAGAAGGCCAGAGCTGAACGAGGTCGAGTACGTCCCATGCCCATGTGGTTTTCTCTTCCTTGTGGGCCGTGGTCTGGGAGCCAGAATTTCAACGTGCATAGGTAGGAGGTCCGGGGGCAAGTCCTGCAGAACGGGCGAAGTCAAAGCGCCTGCCATGGGCCAAATCGCGGATCGAGGGCGTGTTCGCTGGGAGCGGCCCCAGGGTCTCCAGCCTTACCGATGGCCGGAGCCGAAGCAGGTTTTCCAGGGTGGCGATCTCCGGCCGGTGGTGTGTGTCTGATGCGTGCTGGGTGCCACGGCTCGAGGTGCTGGGCGCCCCATGGTCAAGCCGTGGGCGATTTGGGCGACCTCCGAGAAGCTGCGTCAGCGGATGTCGATCGGATGCGATGGACGTCGCGATTATGCCCCGTGTGTCGGAGGTGCCGTGGCGGCCTCGTCGGCGTACTACCCGGAGCTCTTCGTTTGTCGAGCAGCTCGAGCCATGCTGGAGAAGCCCAAGATGGAAGACACCTGCAACAACGTGCGGGAGTTCAACGGATGAGGGCATTGACGCGGTCTACGCTCTCATCCCGTCGGGACAGAGGATCGACCAGACCGAGTTGCGGAATATCGAGGTCCCTGCCAGGCGCATCCATGCGGCCTGCGGTCGCTGCCTTCTCGTCCAGGCGGCCAGGTCTCTAGCGGCGAAGGGTGTTGACTAACGGATCGTGATGGTGATGGTGGTGGCGGTGATGATGATGATGTTGCTGCTGCTGATGATGATGCTGATGGTGCTGGTGATGATGCTGATGAGGATGATGCGGATTATGATGCTGATGCTTACGTTTTCGTTGATGGTGATGTTGATTCTGATCATGATGACGAGGAGGATGACGATGATGATGATGATGATGATGATGATGATGATGATGATGATGATGATGATGATGATGATGATGATGATGATGATGCTGATGCTGATGCTGATGCTGTGATGATGATGATGATGATGATGATGATGATGATGATGATGATGATGATGATGATGATGATGATGATGCTGATGATGATGATGATGATGATGATGATGATGATGATGATGATGATGATGATGATGATGATGATGATGATGATGATGATGATGATGATGATGATGATGATGATGATGATGATGATGATGCCGATGAGGACGATGCTGCTGCTGCCGCTGAGGCCGAGGAGGAGGAGAAGGAGGCGGAGGAGGAGGAGGAGGAGGAGGAGGCGGAGGAGGAGGGGAGGAGGGGGAGGAGGAGGAGGAGGAGGAGGAGGAGGAAAACGATATGGTAGGAGTTCAAAAGGACGAGGAGGATGAGGAGGATGAGGAGGGAGGATGAGGAGGATGAGGGATGAGGATGAGATGATGAGGATGAGGATGAGGATGAGGATGAGGTGGAGGAGGAGGAGGAGGAGGAGGAGGAGGAGGAGGAGGAGGAGGAGGAAGAGGCTTAGTAGGATGGGGGAGGAGGCGGTGGAGGCGGCGGCGGTGGATGAGAGCAGAAGCAGGGAAGAGCGGCCCCCGCAGGGAGGCTCGGCACGCGCTGCCCACAGCCTGTGATGAGGCTGCCGCCCGCGGGGGCCTGGCGGCTCTCCCGGGCTCCGGCCTCGAGCCTCACACCGACGGCTACGTGTACGGGGACGACATGCCGGACTACCTGTTCCTCCTGTGCGAGCAGCCCTCGCCGCAGGACGCGCGGCGTCGTCGGTTTCTGTGCCGGAGGGGCTCTCGCCCTCCGTCCTTGGGCCGCTCGCCCTCCAGCCTGCTGCACGCTGGGGCGAAGGCGAAAAAGAGTAATCATGATACGAATTACATAATGGCAAGACACATCATGACCAAATATACATCTAGTAACCAAGTATACATACCTGCATGTTGGCCAGCGCGGGCCCAAAACTGAGATTTCATGCAATTTATGCGGTGCAGTCTAGGCGAGGCAATCCACGCGGTGCAATCTAGGTGGTGCAATATACGTGATGCCATTTATGTGGCGCAAGGCGATGCAAAGCAGCGCGAATCAATGCAGAGCAATGCAACGCAATGCGACACAATGTAGCGCAGAGCAGTGCAATGCGATTCCGATACGCTGCGAGGCATTGCGATCGCAAGGCAGTGCAATTGCAGTGCAGTGCCGCTGTGCTGCAGTGCAGAGCGGTTGCACAAGGGCGCCCTCGAGGGCGCGAAGTTATTTGCGCTTCGCGCCTCGCGGTTCGGCTCCGATTCCTCCTTATCCTCCTCTTCTCCCCTGGGAGGCGGCGCGAGAGCGCGAAGTTATTCGCGCTTCGCGCAGCGCGAAGCGCGAAGTTATGAGCCCTTGTTGCAAGGCAGCGGGGGGCGGGTGCAAGGGAGCGGCGGCGGCGGGCGGGAGCGGGCCCGCTGGGGCCGCACCCGGACCCAGTGCAGAAGAGGAGAGGGAAGAGCCACCAGGTCTACGTCGGGCCTGTCCCCCTACAGGGGGAAGATTCCAAAGTAGTCATGACATAGTCTGGGGACAATGTTTTGGAGTATGTTTTGACCATTTTTTTTTGTGGGTATTTTGTATTTTTGTCGAAAACCCACGCACGGCGCGGGGAGTGCGCGCAAGTTTTCGGAGGTCAGCGCGGCTTTTCTCGGGGCAGTGCCAGGCCGCCGCCCCTGCGGCGCCACTGGCGCCGCCCCTGTCGCTCTCCGCGCGCCGGGGCAGGAGTGCCCAGCGCTGGTCCAAGAGATGTGCGGAGACCTCCGAGGATTCCTGCTGCTGTCGGTTTGTATTCGTCTGTCCGCCCGCGTCCTGCTGGGCAGGGGCAGCGGGCCCGTCGGGGCGAGGAGGAGGAGGAGGAGGAGGAGGAGGAGGAGGAGGAGGAGGAGGAGGAGGAGAGGCTACGTGCGTGCCTGGAGTGGCGACCTGCAACGTGCAGCTGGCGTCGGTTGCGTGGCGTGCATAGTTGGGCGGTGGTGGGAGGTCGACCCTTCTGCGGTGTGGGAGGATGTGCGGGCAACTCCGGAGATGCCAACGCCCTACAGGGCGGAGCCACTCAGCGTCAGGGAACCAGATGTTCCACGTGGTGAGGGTGCAGGAGCCGCGTGGTGGCGGGCTGAAGGGTCCGTCGACCCTCGGGCACCCCGCATCTGCGGTCGGGCCATTCCCTCCCCAGCAACAGACAGGCAACCAGCCTTCTTTCAAACATTCTTTCGCCGCTCCCCATCCCCACTGCTGCACCGTCGCTGCTGGCTGCACGCCAGTACATTGTTTCACTGCAGACCACAAGCACAGCGCCCCATCAGAACACTACCGCGCACGTAGACACCCCACGCATGCGTACGGCGAGCCTACTCTTTCTTCGCGCTGAAGAATGCCACCGCACACGTCTCCATGGTTCACTTCTCTCTCGATCGAGTTTCACTGGGAGCTTGTTCCGCCTTCGTGCCATCCCTTTTCCGACCAGAGCGGGCTCGAACCTTATGGCTGGAACAATTGTTGCCAATATCTAGATTGGAGCAGGAGCGTGGGGTCAGGGGTGGTTGGGATGCCTTTATTGGGCCTGCTCTTGTCAAATCCTGCGCTTGATGTCGTCAAAGGTGAGGGCCAACCTGGCGCGAGATTGTACATCTCCGCACCCGTAAAGGTCCATGCCCTCCGGTAGGCCCCTTGTCCTTGGCCAGGATGTCCCGAGATGGCTTTGCTGTCGTCTGTTGTGTGTGGTCAACTCTTTGAGTGCCGCCTGTGGCCGAGAGTCGGCCAATATGGAACGACCTGGCGATCGAACAGCTGTCGATCGTACGCGGTGTCAGAACAACCAACGCGCAAGTCGTCACGACACGAACCCGCCGTACGTAGAAGATATGTCGGGCGAGCAACCGCAGCTTCTCAAGTACTGCTAGGTGGCCAGTCTGCGCGCGCTGGCTGCGCGTGTATGAGTGGCCCAGCGTGTGGAATGGTTGGCGCTGTGAGTACGATGGACGGACCCCCCAGGCCGCATCGGTGTCCCCTCCTCCCGAGAGGCCTGATCATCCATGGCCATGCTGCGCTGAGTGTCCTCCTGCAGCGTGCGGCTGAAGCTGGTTGGCCGCAGTATTCATATGACAATGCAGGTACATTTTGAGGCCAATAGCTGGCTAAATACTTTCTCACGGTGTGTTGGCGATGCATTGAAATCAATGTGAGCGTTTGCCGTGACAGCCGTTGCTGTTGGTGCCACTGAACGGCAGTGAGCTGGCCGCACTGGTGGAACGTGCCGCTGCACAGGTGCCCGGCTAGTGGCATGGACATTTCCGTCCGCCCAAGCTCACGACCAAATCTTTCCGTGCCGATTGGCTTGTACAGCAGTGCGGGGTCTTGCAGGACAGAGATGGTCCTGTATGATGTGTGTGTGTGTGTGTGCCCCGGCTTCCTCCTCCCTCCTTCCCGTGCCTGGCGTCCCTCCTCTCTCCCCCGTGCATTTCGGCCGAATTTGCATTCGTATGAAAGCTCTTCCGCCAGCGCAGCCGCTCTGCCCAGCGGCCGACCTTACAAATTATGTGTGTCCTTGTGTGTGTGTCTTTGCGTGTGCGTGTGTGTGTGGTTCTGCTCGGGCCGCGCACTGCCCGCCGAACTTGGCTGTGGCGCCCCTCCTGCTGCCCCGCTCTCGCTCGCCGCCCCGCTGCCCCCTCCGACCCCGGCGCCCCGCCCCGGCGCCCCGCCCCGCGGCCGTCGCCCCCTCGCCGCCCCCGGCCCCGGCGCCCATGGCGCCGCACCCGGCCACTGCCCTGTGAGGGGTTTGCCGTCTCGGCTTCCCCTTTGCGTCTCTTCCGACTGCTGCGAGCGCGGGGTCCTCCGCGCGGCGCGTCGAACGGTGTGGCGAGTCGCCCCCCTGCGACGACCGAAAAGCGTGTGTGTGTGTGCTTGCGTGTGTGTGTGTGTGTGTGTGTGCGTGTGTGTGTGTGTGTGTGTGTGTGCGTGTGTGTGTGTGTGTGTGTGTTCGTGCGTGCGTGCGTGCGTGCGTGCGTGCGTGCGTGCGTGCGTGCGTGTGTGTGTGTGTGTGTGTGTTTGTGTTTGTTTGTTTGTTTGTTTGTTTGTTTGTTTGTTTGCTTGTTCGTGTCCTTGTGTTCGTGTGTGTGTGTGTGTGTGTGTTTCGATTCTGCTCGATAGCAATTAGCACTTCCATGTGCCGCCCGCTCCTGAGGACCCTTTGCGCCGCTGACTTACCACCGTGTGTGTGCGTCCTCCGTGACGCCACCCATGATTTTCAGCTCGCTGAGGGGCAGCGAACGCGATCTGTGTTTCTGGGGCGACGGAGGATGAGGCAATGCTCGTAGGGCAAGAGCAAGCCTAAGCAGCCCAATCGTCGGTAAGAGCAAACCTAAGGTCCGAACTTGTCGCGAATGGGTGTCGTAAGGATTGATTGTTATAGACGGATCAAGCGCGCCGGCTGAGCGCATTGGGATCTGACCCTGGAAGCAACGCTGCCCCCCAAGCGCCCTCCAACCCATGATGGTGAGATGACCCCTTCTGCTGCCCAGACGGAGGCTCCGACCGGGCGTCGCCCCAAAAGAGGGTTTCTTCCCGGGAGCTTTCTCGACATCACGGAGGCCGTTATCCCAGATGTTAAGCGTCCTCCTTGGCCATCTCCACCTGCGTCCCTTCCGTCGGCTTCGACTGTCACTCGTTCATTCGCTGAGTGCGCACTGGTCGATCGTCCGCGCTTTGTGTCGCTTGCCGTGTCGCCCGTGTCGCCTCCGTCGCCCTCCGTGAGGGACCTCCTGGGTCGGTGGTCGGTTCGTCCTGTTTTTCTTTCCGCCATCCATGCCCGGATGGCAGATGGCGTTGCTTTCCTCTGAGCCTGATTGGAGCGCGCGCCCCCCCAGCCGCAGCACTTGACTTTCTTCGCCCCGACGCTGCGCGCGAGGCAGCGACCGCGCGCGTGTGTGTGTGTGTGTGTGTGTGCGTGTGTGTGTGTGTGTGTGTGTGTGCGTGTGTGTGTGTGTGTGTGCGTGTGTGCGTGTGTGTGTGTGTGTGCGTGTGTGTGTGTGTGTGCGTGTGTGTGTGTTGCTGGTAGTTGTATTTGTACACGCGTTGATACGCATAACTGGGCTCTTAGTCATCTTTTTGGGGTAACGGCATGTGACATCAAATGCTGGTAGGTAACTGCGCGGCTGCGACTGCAACCGAGCTGGTCGTACTAGAGGTGAAAAGTATGGATTGCCGATTGGACGGCTTGGTTTGGACTGAAGTTTCCCCGGCTGTGCACTTATGTGATTGCGGCTGTGTGCACATTCTAATGAAATTTGAACTGCTGAGCTGAAGTCGTGGCTTGGGGCTCAAATGGTGTGTGTGTGTGTGTGGGGGGGGTGGAGGCGGGCGAACAAGCGAGGGTGAGTCAATAGGGAGGAGAGACAAGTGGGACACGTATACCCGTGTAAACACACACACTTGTACAGAGAGAGAGAGAGAGAGACAGAGAGAGAGAGAGAGATAGCGAGAGAGAGAGAGAGAGTGATATAGCGAGAAAGAGAGAGAGAGAGAGAGAACGTCGCACATCAAGGCTCTCACATCAGATAGAGAGGGCATTCAGACTGCACCTGAAGGGCTTTGGCTTAGGGTCGCAGGTGGTCGCAGGTGGTCGCGGACATCCTACCCAACAGCTGGTGGCATTACACCACGCGTCAACCTGCCTGGGGGCACGGTGGCGAAACTTTGACTCCCTGATGCTTAATCATGTTCGCATGTGCCCAGTTTAGTCTTGCTTTTCTTAAGGTCACATTTGCCTTCGAGTTGTTTCTTGTTGGCACGCTAGCTCACCCCCAACGCAGCTCCTGCTCCTGATTGTCTTTATCTGTGCTGGCTGTCTACACGGACATCCATCGAATGTCCGTGCCATTCCCATTTGCTGTTCGTGACATTTGCCTTCCAGGTTCCTCGCATCACAACTCATCGTGCTCACCTCTTGCTCGTGCCTCTGCGCGTTGGTGCTACTGCTGCTGCGGCTGCTGCGGCTGTGCTGCCACTGCTCCTCCCCTTGGCAAAGCGATGTCCGAGGGCGGCGCGAATGTGCTGCTGGACGGCCACCGCATTCTCAGCGCCCTGGAAGCCGGAGACGCCGCTGCGCAGGAGCTGGCCAGGAGCTCCCTCGGGGGGCCGCCCGGGCCGGGGAGAGGCGTGCGCTGCCGCGGCTCTGCTGCTCGTCCCCGCTCTCCCTGCTCTGCGGCGAACCCGGGGGGGCGACGGCAGCGACGACGACGGACGACGACGCCGACGACGGACGACGCCGACGACGACGACGGACGACGACGACGGACGACGACGATGGACGACGACGGCGACGGCGCCGACGGCGACGGCGCCTGCGACGCGGCGAGAGTGGGCGGGCCTTCTGAGAAGGCGCCAGGGCTTCTGAGAACCCCCGCTGCCTTCTGAGAAGGCTCGTCCCCTCTCGCTTCCCTAGGGGAGAGACGAATGACATGAACATACAAACTCGGAGTTCCGCGCGGATTTCTCGGATCGTCGCCTGGCCCCCATCCGTGGCGCGTGGAGCGCGCCAAGGGCGGCGCCGCAGGCGCCGCCAGGGGGTCCAACGCGGACCTTCGTTCCACTATATCGTCCTTCGTTCCTAAGTATCATCACGCGTTCCATCCTTCGTTCCTCTATATCATCCTTCGTTCCTCTATTCTATCCGTCGGTCCATCTTTTCTTCCCCGACTCCCGCTCTCCCCGGTCTCCCCCCGGTTCTGCGCCTCTGCCGTGCATGCCGTGCTGCGGCAGCTCAGGGACTTCCTGCTCCGAGCGTGCTCCCGTCCCTTTCCGCTCGCTCCGTCTCCCCTTTCCCACCCGCTTGAAACACATCCCTGTCCCTATGTTTGGCCATCTCGTCACCTCGATGCCGATCTTAAATATTCCCTCGGTTTCTGAGGGCCTATCCCTAAGATTGTCCTCGCTGTTTGCTCGCCCATCTTAGGGATAGGGATGGCTGGTTACTTTCGCCTGTTGTGCCCAGGTTCGGCCCCGTTGCATCCTTTCGCTGCCCTCGAACGCGGTGTAGATCCTCGCTGCTGCTGCTGCTGCTGCGACCTGACGAAATCGGAAGGGGGAACAAAAACACAGACACAATTCATCGTCGATCCACGGGACATCTGGACAATGGGGGGGAGGAAGACAATCGAGAAAACATTGAACAATCTGGGGAATCCTGGGATGTGTGTCCCTGTGCCCCTTCACAAAGTCTCCCCCCTCGGCCCCTCTCTGCCCGCCCCGCTCCTGCGCGGCCCCAGCACCAACGGCCCTGCCGTCCCCACTCCCTCCTCTCCTGGGTCCTCCCGGGACTGCGCTCCCTCTCTGCGCCCCCCTCCACCCTCTCCTGAGGAGGGGGAGGAGGAGGAGGAGGAGGAGGAGGAGGAGGAGGAGGAGGAGGAGGAGGAGGAGGGGGAGGGGAAACCCATTTGGCCTCTCGCGCGTGGGCCAGCCCGCCGCGCGCGCCCAGGCCAGCCGAGCGATAGCCGTGCTGGTTGCCGCGGCGCGGGCAAGCCCGCGAGGCCGGGGCTCAGCGTGCCCAGAGCGCCAGAGGGTGGGAATCCACTTCAGGCGCAGGTGGCCGCGTCGAACCCCAGCATAGAGGTGGAGAGCTGCGAGAACTACGAGAAGTATGACGACAGGTTCCCGTACTAAGGAGCCTGCCTGGCACCGACGAGCTCGAGAGAAGCGAGGAGCAGCGAGAGCAGTACTACGAGTACACAAGGCCGAGACGATATTGAAACATCATCACTCAGTATACAAAATGGGGAGACCACAATCTCGACGACGGGATGAAGGCCGAGCTCAGCATCAAGGAAGACATGACAACATATGGACCTGCAATCGGTGTGGACTAACAAATCCAATGAGTTCAAGAAGGTGTTCATGCCAGGAAATGGGTCCAGAGCAAGAACTTCAAGGGCACGAACACCGAAAGGAAACAAAGAAAAAAACCCAGCCAAGAGATTACCAGATATTCAGAAATTGATCGACGAGACTCCAATGGCAACGGAGGAAGAAGCTTACGGTACACAAGGATGGGAGCAGCCACCAACAGATGCTGGGCAGGCAAGGGCATTTAGATACCGTATCTATGCTAAACAGACAAGTGGCGACGGCGGTCAACGCGGCGGAGAAAGCAGGAATGCAACTAACAAACGAGCGCCAGGTTATTGCAATGATCAAATATATGTTAGACATCATGAAGCCAGCATCAGCACGAGTCGAAGGCCATTGAAAGAATGTGGACCGAATCAAAAACAAGTTGAAGAGCCTCAATATGGAACAAACTAACATCACCAACAAGGTAGAGGACATGGCGCACCAGCTAGACAGAGCAACAAATGCACTCCATGCCGCGGTTCGAGAACGAGACGGAGAAGAAGAAGAGGCATATCATGAAAGTGTTGATGACGAGGATATGGCAGAATACATTGGGGCATTAGTGGATGTTGAACCAAGGTTCAAAGCACCGGAGCAAGACATACCACCAGTGCGTCGACATCCAGCAGGAAGTGCAGGACCTCAAGGACAAGATATGCACCTCAATGCTCATGATGAGATGGCTTCAAGCAACCAGATACAACAGTTGATGGGAATGGTACACCAGCAGCAAGCTCAGAATGGAATCCTTCAGATGCAGGTCGGGAAAGCAATGGAGGTCGCGCAGCGGGTGCAGACGGACAGCGCACAACGGCAGCGAGCAATATTACAGCAACTGGCAACACAGAAATACCATATGGATCAGATGATCCAGAAGTATCCAGAGGAATGGTCACCGGCAACATTCCCGTCTCAAGAGGTAGCACGACCAGCAACATCTTCAGCACAGACACCGACCAGAACGACGGCAAGAAAAGAAGGACTAAAAGAGAAAGATGTGGCATCACGGGTACAGGAAGGAGCAAACCACCAAACGAAGAACGAGATGAACTACTACGACAACAAGAACGAGCCCATCATCCAGGAAGTGGAAGAACATCATCAAACAACAGAACGATGGACAGAACCAGAAATAGCGGAGCAAATGGAGATGGAAGAGAAACCACAGGAAGTGCGGATGCGACAACCTGGAATACCAAGCCCAGAGATCATATCGCAGATGGAAATTGGAGAATATCACGAAGCACTGCGCAGGAGGATTCGATCAGATACAGAGTCGATACCAGCAGAGCAACCTGACCCAGAATATCGTGATTGCGCTCCTACTGAAGTGGCAACAGATGGAGAAGAGGAAATGCAAAAAGGCAAAATTCATGGATGATGCGGAAAAGTATGAGCAGACATCGCAAAGAGAACCAGCATTATGGCCGACGCCGCCAGGGCCGTTGGAACCGACGTCGCCGATCACACCAACAGAAACATAGGGAATATCGGAGGCAGTGGCAGCTCATGGGTACATTTCGAGAACAATGATATCGCCAACGCCAACGCGTCGCACGTCGAGGGAGAGAGAGAGAGAGAGAGAGAGAGAGAGAGAGAGAGAGAGAGAGAGAGAGAGAAGGTCACCCAGAAAACGACCGTCAGGAGCCAGCCCAAGAAAGCCAGAAGTGCACAACATGGCAGATGGTGACACACCACCACGTTTTCGAGAGCGAGCAGAATCAGTATCACGATTCGGAGCTTTTCGCGGAAAGGAGAGCAGCGATGCAGGGAGGCCACCACCATCGAGGATTTCAAAATCAGCAATGCTCCAATTTGGAAGATTCGGAAGGACGCGCACAGCAGGAGTTGGTGAACGCCCAGCCTCCCGCGTGCGCAAGCTCGATTGTAAAGAGGCCAGCCGCTGAGAGCGGCAAACAGGTCCATTCTGGACCAACGCAGTGCATGGAATTTGAAGTTGGAAGCAGTTGTGAGTCAATGCGTGAAGCATCGCCCGCACTTGTACGATCAACCGCGATGACTTCCAGCATATATAGGCTGACAGCGAGCCCTATGTTGCTGCGCGAAACCAAGCTCGTACAACATGCGCGTCATACCTCTCTGAGATTGGGTTGCCAGGTGAAGGTATGCGATCCGTCGGACTAGCCGATGTTGCAGATCCAGCGCAGAATTCCGACCTTCAACGCGCAAAAGCATGTCCATGCCTGCCGCGATCCTGGAACCCACCCATCTTGGCTCGACCAGGAGGCATCGTGGAAGAAGGCTGAGAAGAACCCATCCCTCGGCCGTGAAGGACAAGCTGAATTGCAAGTACAACCCGTAGGGCAAACCACGGGATCATTTTTAGCATCAAAGTGGAAGCGGCTTGCAAAGAGTACCCGAGACTACGCGCAACGGGTAGAACAATCATCGCATGAAGCAGGGCAGCTACCAAAAGAAGGCCAACATCAAGCAGGTCATATACGATGTGAAGCCAACGTACCTGCACCAATCACGGAAAGAATGCGCCGAGTACCAGAGAGAATGCGATTGTCTGATTGCCATGGCGACATGCAGCTGCACGAGTGCGCCAGGCTGGCAATTAAGATGACCAAGTACACCGAAGTTGACCCGTTCAAGTACTATCTATATATACTGATGCCTCGGTCCCTGGCGAGAAGATGGCAGCTGCATGGTCAATGGCACTAATATCAGAGAGTGAAGGTGGTTTTCGTTTTCATGGGCAACCATGACACTTGATCAGCGGAAGCACGGCGCTGGAGATAGATTGCAACACACTGGATTCCACCCGAGCAGAACTAGTGGCAATAACATGGGCACTCATATCGGCAAATCAGCTTGAGGAAGATGTCACCGCGAACATATACACGGACTCCAAAAGCGCGACCGACATTATTACGACAGCGACATCAAAGGCAGACCCCATATCTATATTGGCAATCAGCACGTACACTGCGGTGAGACAAAAAAGGCAAATCTCCATAAAGCACGCAAAAGCGCACGTGGGGCAACCATGGAATGAGCTATGCGACAGCACCGCCAAGCACCACACAAAGAAGTATCAGAACATTGACGGCATTATTAATGTGGAGGACGGCTGTTTACTACCAGGCAGGATCGTGGCATAACTGCACGTATGTGAGCATACACACTGGGCAGTATTGCGAGATCCCGAATATCGTGACTCACATGCATGCCCGAGAACCACTTCGGAAGGGCTGGCGTTCCAGCA